ACAGAGAAAGAGAAGTCCACACCCCTTAGCAAGTATTTAAATACCTTACTTTCTGAGTTACTGAAAATTCAGTTTTTTGACCCTTTTAGGCTCCCATGGCTGATGCTGAAAAACCAAAGGACTTCCACTCTCTAGGAATCTCTCATGCCTGCCTAGGTGTATGGGCAGCCTGGGAAAAGCAGACACTGCCTGTAGCTACTGGTGATCAGGGAAAAGATTGGCTAGGAATGAGGATGGAAAGCAGGGAAAACTGGAGGAGGTTGCAGTTGTTGACCATAGGACAACCTCTTTTGTTCTACACCTGGCACAGCAGACTACAGAGCATCCCAGAGCCACACCAATTAAAAAAAGGCCAAATCATCACCAGGACTGACACCAGTGTGCAGCTTCTGTGTGGCTTTACATCACGGGGCTGAAAGGGAAGCATGGCTCACAGAAGCACAGCCTTCACACTTCTCCTGTTCCTTCTGTCTGCTCTGCATCTGCATTAAAAGCACTCAAGTAGTCCCTAAGACTCCAGCCAGACTGACTGAACAGCAAATGCCAGTGAATGGTTCTGGTGATACTTGCCTGTGCTTTGCCACCCTCTCGTTCCAAATTGGCTTGAGAACATCAAGAAGCAGCTGATGGTCATAAGAAACAAAATCAGATCACTACTGGCCTGGCATGAATTATGTGACCTTGAATTATGCATTCACAGCAGACAGTATGACTGGAAAAAACAGGAAATATCAGACGAGTGTGTTGAAGCCTCTATGAATTCTCCACTTCTCCTTGTTAAAGGATGTGTATTTTCATTAGTGGATTTTCTCACAGATCTGTTGTGATTTTCAAAAAATAATGTTTTGCAATAGCCTTAAATTGTTACATTACTGGTAATGTAGTTTTTATTACGGATTACAGATGAAACTCTGGACCTTCATGTGCTGACAGGGAGCTTAGTTTCAACCCACAGTTTTAGAAAGGAGTCTCAGTTTTGAGGACTATGAAAGACTCCTATGATCTAGACATCATAATTTAAAAGAAACCCGCAGGTTAAGAACTGAGCTATGACAGGATATAAAAATGACTCTAACACAAAAACAATTTGCATACCAGATTATTAAATGAAAATCTATCAAAGTATCATTTATTGACGTAAACAAATAGCCTATCTGCCCTGTCTTTGGAAACATTTAGCCTGAGGGAAAAATTTAAACCTGGGCAGATAATCAGGGTAAGGTATTTGAACATTTAAATCTTGCTGGATTCTTTAAAGTAGGTGTTAAGTGGTGCATTAAATTTGTGCTGTTTCTTCTGAGCAGGGTAAATTTGCTCTTCTGTAAATAGTGGGAAAAGCCTTTTACAATAATTTGAATCCATGAATAAATGTAATGTATTAAAATTTCTAAAGCACAAGCATTAAATGTTTTTGTACATAAGCCAAATGAGTGGAATATCCAGGACTAAAATTATTTGAGTGACCACAGAATGATAATATATAATTAAAATTACATCTGCACCACTAACTGATGGGATGAGAGAAAGTGACATCACAGATCTCATATAAACTGCAAGCATATTATTAGATCTAAACCTGGCTGTAAAATTACTATCTACCCAAGGGATTATCTTTAGGCATTCAGAAGCATTGTTTCATTTACTGATAGAACAGGGATGATAACAGGCTGACTTTGCTTGTCACATTGTTTTTTGGCCTTTCTTTATTCTTTGTTCACATTAGCTGTAGATGAGAGGAAGACAAGCTTTAGCTGAATCACTGTCGTGGAGCTTTTCATTGTTTTACAGTTTGTTCCAAAGGCTTTTTTTATCCTCCCTACCCCCTCCCCTCAAGAAAAGAATCCCAAAGCATTTTTAATGGTGATAAAATCAATGGGGAGTAAAAGATGCACACAATGTAACATCTAGGAATGTGGCAAACTAAGGAATACCCATTGGCCTAATGCACCTCAGGGAGACCATAAAACTTTGCTTATAGCTCTCATTATTAGCACAAAGAACCAGTGGCTGCTAGTTATATCTTGGCCTTATTAAAATTCAGTGCCAAAACTCCAACTGGTTTCAGTGGGTACATTTCATCATTTGAGACCTAGGACAGAGGACAATTCCCCTTCACATGCAGGGCTATCTGGGGCACCTAATCTCTACAGATTTAATTTCTGCATTAAATTGAAAAAAAGCTGCATTTTGTTCTGTTTCACACACCATTTTTATGTCTCTGGCAAATATTAGTTGCCTATATTTGTAACAAGACTCATGTGCCACCAACCTAAAACACTCAAAATTCTAAAAGCATTACAACAAGACAGGCAGTGACAAGAGAAAAAAGAAAGCTCCAAACTTTCCAGTCACTTTTGAACAATAATGATCCTGAACTGCAAAGGGGACCTAATTTGCCTGTAGAAATCTGTCCCTAAGTGTCTAAAGCCTAGCACTTGAAATAGTTCCTATATGCCAGTTTTGCAAACTAAGCAAAAGTCCGTGAGCAGACAGGTCCCCAGGCAGTCATGGAGCTGTGCATACACTGCTGAGGCAAACATGGACCTTGCACTTCCTTCCACATTGTCCTGGTGTTGGGCAGCTACTGCCATGTGTTATCTCTTTCAGCACCTCCCAATATCCCTCCCAACAGAACCTTAAGCCTCTGGTCCATCAACCACTCTAACCTGCAAACAGGCTGTATCATGCAGATTTCTGCATCCTGATCTTCTCACTGCAATCTTGCCTTTTTCTGTGTTTTCCCTTGTTCAAGGGAGTGACCAGCTCTAGCACAGTGGAAGGATTGATCCCCTCAGTGCTACAGCCACAGAAACACTGCATTTCATTAATAATGGTTAATACAGCAACCATTTTTAATCCACATCAGGTTGTTTCATTGTCCCTTTTATCCTTCCATAATTCATCCACAGAATAGACTTTCCATGCAGACCCCTTTGGCATGAATCTGATTTAAAGCTGTCCACACCTACAGCCACATCTGTATGCCATTAGAAGTTCATGCTGGACCTATGCAGGAGAAATGAGGTACCTGCAAGCAGTTTATACACATCATCACTGCCAGAAAATATTCCTGCAGCACTCAGCCTGGGCCAGGAACCACGTTTATGAATCATGACTTGTTTGTGGCCAGTCAGTGGTGCTTACCATCTTTTGGGTGAAAAGAAAAACAAAGACTGCTGAAGGTGGGCTGAAGGACCAACAAGCAGCATGTGATAAACTGCAACAAATGTTGAAGTGAGATATCGCTGCAGAAAGTCAAAGAGCAGCAATATGTGTGAATATAAATGTTATTTTTAAATGTATCCTGGAAGTAATGTAGGGTAAACCAAAATCTATTTTACCCTGAAAAGTGGCTTCCATGAGGTGAAGCTGTGAGAATAAGTTGGGAGAATCCATTCTCACCTTTGCTGTTACAGTATTAACGGCTTCCTTCATGTGGATGTTGTGTTTCATGCCAATTGTTATGCAAAAATTTGTCTCAGTTACCTAAAAATGGAATTTTCACCGATATTCTTTGTTTCTCACTGCACATCCATATTCCTTCACGAAAAGAAAAGGAATGAAACTTCACGCAATAAAAGGAAATGAAGCGAAATGAAAAAAAAAATCAAAAAATATGAAAATAAATGAAAGAAAACTTAAAGAAATGAAATTAAATGAAATCTCAAGATTTCATTTCTTTTCATGAAATGTATTTTCATTTCATGAAAGGAAATAAAATGAAAAATCAAATATTAGAATTAAATGAAACATCATGGAATAAAGGGAAATTAAATTTTAAAAACATTAAAATAAATTAAATGAAACAAAGAAATGAAATGAAATCTTGGGATTTCATGAATGAATGAAAATTACATTGAAAAGTTAAGAAATGAAAGGAAATGAAATGAAGTTAAATTAAAAGAAATTAAAATAAATTAAAGGAAATATAGGAAAATGGAATTAGATGAAATCTCATGATTTCATGTCCTTTCAGAAAATGAGTTTTCATTTCGTGAAAAGAAATGACATGCCAAATCAAAGAATGAAATGAAATTAAATTAAATTAAAAAATGAAATTACATGAAACATAACAAAATGAAATTAAATGAAATCTTGGGATTTCATATCATGAGAGGAATGAAATGACAAGGAATGAAATGAAATGAAATAAAACTCAGTGGAAAGAAAGGATAAGAAAGGAAAAATAAAATGAAATTTAATGAAATCTTGGGATTTAATTTCCTTTCATGCTTGCTTTTTTGGACAAAAGAAGAACTTTTGTATCACAGACCCAAAGCACAGGCCTACGTTCCAAATGCTTCATATACCAAAAATAGAGAGACTTTCATAAAAATGTATGTGCCTTCACAGACTTCATAAAACAAGAGTGATTAGAAACAAACACAAAAAACCTCCTCAGAGTTCCTTATGTCCAAAAAAAGAGGTAACAAATGATTTGCTAACAGTGGGCAGCCATTTGTTTGCACACTTCAGGTGGTATTTACTACCTTTCCATTTATCCATCTCAGCATCAGGTGACTGCTCTAACCAGACATTCAGGTTCTTCCCATGCTCCAAAGCAGGAGGAACTGTCACAAGACACTGTGAAAACCTGCCCCAGCTCTTAGGCAGAGACTGGGTTGAAGCACTCAGTGGGGGCTTCTTTTTCTCTGGTCCTTGAAGAAAAGTAGTGTAGACATGACACACGACTTTTGGGTGAGAAGAAATTCCACAGTCTTGAGTCCTTTCTTCTGGTTCTAGAAACCAGGCTAAGAAGTCATCCCAGATGTAACCTTTTCACATCCTTACTTGAAGAGAAATACTAAGATAAGCAATATTGGAATGTGTTACCAATTCTGCCTGTTGGTACATGAAGCTAAAAATTAATCAAATCATCATTAAAATACTTTGAATGTTCAAAGATATTCAGTTTGTTTTTCAAACAGAGGCTTATGCCACTTCTAGTTTTTTCTCAAAACATTTGCTTATCCATATATTTATCATAGAAATAGTCTTACCTCAGCTGCATCTTGCTGGTGTCTGTAGACAATTGCATTTTTTATGGTTTGGATAAAAAATCCATTCAGTTCCTTTTGTTTCTTGGTGGGAAAAATGCGTAGCAATGGGATCATTATGAATGGAAAAGAAACTGTAAGAGATTTTAAGGAAGAAAACATTGAATCAGACTGAGAGGGCATATAATAGTCCCCCTCACCCTTCCTTAATATTATAAAACTTATCAAGAGGGATGTGTTCCTTATATGAAAACTGATTTTTCCTCTTCCTTTAGCAACCTGTGGGGGTGGAAGAAAAAGAGGATTGCCTTTTAGTGATGTCCTGCTATCCAGGACTCTCCAGACAGATGCCTTCCAATCTTGTTTCCACGATGCCTCAGGAGTTTGTTTCAGATTTTTGGAGTCACAAAGCCACCACAACAAAGGGGAGCCCTATTTCCCCTGCCTGATCAGATAATTACATAGGGAAGGTGGGGGATCTTGAACTGGCCTAGCAGCTTGAAATTGGGTAGATTTTTCATTCCTGTTTACAGCTCTCCAGTGCTAGGGATCTATATGAAGGATGGGGCTCTTTAGCAGGGCCTTTTGCAGTAGGACAAAGACTATGTGGTTTAAACTAAAAGAAGGCAAATTCAGATTAGATATAAGGAAGATGTTCTTTACAATGAAGCTTGTAAAACAGGGGCACTGGTTGCCCAGGGAGGTGGTGGATGCCCCATCCCCAGGAACATCCAAGATCAGGATGGACGGGGCTCTGAGCAAACTGACCTAGTTGAAGACATCTCTGCTTATTTCAGAGGATTGGACTAGATGACTTTTTAAAGTCTCTTCCAATGCAGAGTATTATATGAATCTATTTATTTTGCTTCTCTAAACAAGCCACAGATTCAGGAAGTGGGATGTTATCACAAGGATTGTCTCCAGTCCATACTTTTATAGTCACAACCTAGAAACCTGAGTGAAGTCTTACATCCTAATAAACTTGTCATTAACTTATGAACAACTTATGATTAACAAATCAATCATTGGAAAAAACCTGCCCTGCCAACAGGGCAACTACATTGTGGAAATCCTCACCACATTAATGAACGAGCAGAAAGAGGTGAACCAAGGAATCCAAGTCCAAACACTACAGAAACTTTCTTTAATGAAGGACACACTCTTAGATGTATAGGTGCACATTTTTGTTCCTTAAGAAATTGGTTACAAATCACATTTTGCAATCAGGTTAAACATGAACCCCAGGGCAATTTGGACACACAATTCCAGAAGGAAACAGTTGATGCACTGCAAGTACAGGTGCAATCTGTAATGCCAGCAGGATCAGATGGGCACAGGAAACTTTGCCACTGTACCACCTGATACTACTGTGTGCAGGTCTAGATAACAAGATGATAAAACCTCAAAAGCCTTGATTATGCCATGGCTACCTCAGCTCTGATTCTTACTGCCCTTGAATTATCAAGATCATCACCACCATGAAGCCTTAGCTTTCATGCCCTAGAACAACGTGGCCATATACCCTACTCTTGCATTGCCTATCTATTAATCTAAAATAAATGCATTGTCTTCATGACACTTGTGATCTTTATCCTTTGAACCATCAACCAGGCTGTGGACACTGTTCAAAAAAGATTTGGGAGTACTTACACAATCTGTTTATACTCTTCCACCTCTTTTCTTTAGTGGGTTGTTAATGGATGGGATTTCAGTCTCTACTAAGCAAACCAAGTGCACAAAAACTTTACACTTAGGTTCCAAAGGGAAATTACTCTGTTTTAGTATGAAGTGTATTATATAAGTATTGTAGAAACTGCAGGACCCAGAAACTTTCCTGTCAGATGAACCAGGAGCATTGTTCCTGGACTCTCAGTTTCTGGAGTAAGTCTCATTAATGGTGACAAGACCTGTAGAGCATATGGTAGAAATCCCAAGGGTAGAAGTGGCCTGTAGGTTGCATTCTGAGTCCCTCTGAAATAATGTCAGTTATAATACTTTCTGCTCTGGCTTCAGCATATTTTGCAATTTGAGAATGACTTTTATGAAATTACCACAAGAAAGTAGACAAATGTAGACTATACTCACGGATTAGAATGAAAAGAGGCTTAAACAAAGACATTTCAAAGAATGTTCTGCAATTCTTAACAAAGGGGTCATCAGGATTTTTCTGAGAATCCACCTCAGTACCAAAAGCTACACTACCAACAACATCCAAGGTAAAGCAGTTGTAACACCTGCATTTAATTGAAAAATGATAAATCATTATCTACAAATCACAAAACCATTAATATCTTGCTTCTACAAACATCATAAAACATTAATTTTTGCCACCAAGTTTCCTTTTGCTTTTAGACTTGAGCTGTGCCAACAAGATGTTTCCATCATTCTGACAAATGCTGATGCTTGTTAATGATAACTTTCTCTACATCTACAAAGTGAACTTATTTTCATACTGCTCAGTAGTTCCACTAACATTTTATTAAAAACAATTTAATTTGTTATGACCTAGAAATCAAATGTAACACATCAGAGATGAATAAGCATTTTCTTAGCATTCATCCTAATAAATGAGATCATTCCTTTCTCATTTTTAACTGCAAAAACCACACCTACTTCCAGTCTAGTCAAAGCTCTTAATCTTAAATCTTAATCTTAAAGGTCTTTAAGGATTTCCTTCTTCTTCATACCTCCTTTGTAGTGTAACTCTGGACAAAACCAAGAGAAACTGACACCATGTGAAATCTCTGCAGAGGAGCAGACGGTGCTTTGAGAACACCAAATGATCTGTGGACCATGATCTAGAAACTTCAGAACTTACTAAATGGCTCCCTGCATATCTGACCATCTATCCAGTTGTCTTACCATCTTTATTTTCCTAATGGGCAGCTCTATTAAGACTTGAGATAAGTGGACTGCGAATGTAAAATATCCTTGGAATTCTGATCTGTGGTGAAGTAAGCAATATCTGTACTTCCATTATCCTTACAAAAGGCTAATATCAATCTCTGGTGTTTTAATCTGAGTGAGCATGTATGAAGAGAAGAACAGGATTCAGGCCCATTATATCCTGTATGTATTATGTGAATCAGTATTTCTAAACTATGATCTTTGTGATCTTTCATTCTGATCACACCAGAGAAGATTTATAAGATAACAACAACAATGCAAAACCAAGTAAGTTCTTTTGGTCTTCAACTCATTCAAACACACACACATTCACAAAAAGCATCATTAGAAGTTAAAATGTTAAAAGAGGGGGCATTGCTATAAAGCAATAATTTCAGAAGGATTCAATCATCTACCTCTCCAAGGTACTGAAAAAAAACAACCTTAAAAACCGAATTTTGAGTTGCTGGCAAAACACAAAACATCTAAAGACAACTAAGGTCACAGGAGTTTACAGATATATCCAAAAAAACCAGCTCCCAAGGCAATTCTGTAAAACTGCAGTGGAATGAGAATCACATTTATATGCACATCAAACCTGCAGAAATGGTCGTATGGTAAAACAACTGGAAGATCATGTTCCAAGATGGTCAACATCATTCAATTATACTTTCAAAGGGTCTTTTCCAAAGTGTCTCTTGAGAGGTGAAACCCTATAATGGATCAATAGCTAAAAGACCAGTCAAAGACAAAGGGCGAATGGAAAGAAGGGAAAAGACTGGAAGGACTGAAAAGGTCAGTTTTCATCCCAGCAGTAGGCTAGTATAATGTATCTTGAGGTTTCATAGCATCTCTTCAGCTGTTCAATAGAGAGATCTCTGTGTGCACACACACTCACTCACACACACACACACTTGCAAGTGCCTGTGTGAACATGCATATGTACATGTGCATATGTACTTGAAAAAAAAGATGAATAAATTGTGGCTAAATATCCATTTCTTCTGATGAAACAATATTATTTGTGCTGCTTCAGTTTGGTAAAAATCATGAAGATCTTCAGAGGCCACTGACCAGCCCAGCAAATGAAGTTTAAGCAAAGTGAAGCAAAAATAGTGCCTGTTAGAAAGAATGCATTTGAACTACTACCCAGGATCTTAGAGGAAATGCATCTACTCAGAGAATGGAGTAGATGTTCAGAACAGCATTGTGAACAGTTCAGTGAAGACCTCTGATGAAAGAGCAACAGAAAAGATAATAGGATATTAAATGCATAACAAATGAGAAAAAGTACAATATGGAAAATATTAAAATGTCATTTTATAAATCAATGGTGCATTTTCATTTAGAGTACTGATCCTGTTGTTTCACAAAAACCTAGCATGCTATGAGAGAGGGTTATGAAGAAAGTGGTAAGAATGATTAAGTGCAGGAAGAAACCTCATATGAAAAAAAGCAAAAGACTGATGGACTAGATATATTTGATACTAGATCAATTCTTATGTTTGTACATTATTGGCAGCCTGTAGAGAACAGACTGGACAGGGATGGCTGCAGCCTTCCTTTGTTCTTCCAGCTGTTAAAACTTCATTAAATAACTGCCAGAAATACATTAGATGCTTTACCAAAATTACTTTTCAAGTATGCAATGGCTGTCCCCAGGAAGAAAAGGCTTTTATCAGACACACTCTCTATTAAACTATGATCTCCACTTTTTAAAGTGAGGGAGGTAAAAAAAATCTTTTATACAGTAAGTGTGAATTTAGAATAACTGCTGCTATTGACTTTTTTCTTTTTTTTTTTTTTAATAAACTGCTACTAATTTTTGGCATGTTGAACATACCTCTGGATATCAAAAGCTTTGCCAGAGTCTGCATAGACCTTCAAGTTACACAGCAGGATGTCACAGGCCTGATTTATCAGTGGTGTCATCTAGAAAGGAACATATTGAATTGTGAAAAAAACATTAAAATGTTAAGAAAAAGAACAACAAACAAAAATAAAGATTTTAAATTATTTTTATCTGATAAATGGGATAGAGATCTCAGGTTCCTCTGCAGGTGTTGTTAGGTACTTATGCACAGGTAAGGTGAAATGTTGGTACTTTCTGCTCGAAATAAACCTACACCTTACACCTTCTCCAGCTCTTGGCCTAAATACAAGGGGCTGTGTCACCTACCTGACCAATGGTTCTTGCCCCAGTACATACACAGAGTGATATCAGGTAAAAACGTCCCACTCTCTGTTTAATCACTTCCTATTCCAAACAAGGATTTATCATGATCTCTATTTGGACTACATCACATTTAGGTTACATATGCTCCAGGGCAGGAGGAATAATGTTTTCCCAAGTCCTGTAAAGGCATTGGCATCAGTTCTATCCTGCTGTCTCTCAGTTTGAGGGGCTTAACATGTACACTAGAAAACAACCCTGGATAGCACTACAAGCTGCTGAGGGAAAACTGCTATTGGTACAGGAAGAAAGGCTTTTCTGAAGTGCTGATGCCATTAAATGGATATTTATGTGAATTTAATCATCTAAGGGTTCTTTCTAGTCACTGCCACTTGCTGGTCAGGTAGATTTAACTACAGCTTGGCTGTAGCCAACAGTGCAATAGTCTCTTCTTAAGGCTTCATGGAAACCTTAGCACAGGCAAACATCAAGGCCTTATTAAGGTCTCACTTTCTGTCCCTCGAGCTTCCTACATATGAGGAATCAGACACTTTCCTGATTGCACCAAATGGGGGGACAGAGGAAGGATGACAATCCAGCCATGAACCAAAAGGAATTATATCCTATAGCTCTTTCCATATAGACTACCAAGAGCAGCCTACAACTTAATACCAGAGTCTTGCCTCAACAACTACACTAAGCATCAGCAACATACACACAGAAACTTGCCTTTCCTTCCTGAACTACCTCCTTCAGCACACAGATGTCAACAAACATGAGAACATACTTATCCTACTCCTCTGACATTCTTGTTACCAAAAAAGACTTACTGCAGCCTCGCAGCACACTCTGAGAGCTATGCAGCCTGCCCAGCCAAGTCCATTTTGCTTGGCACTTCTACCTCTGTGAAACTGGCATAACACTTTGTGCACAGGCACACTGCCATCTTAACACATGGGCAAGACTACACACAGTCAAAAGGCCAACGCGGGAGCATCCAATATGTTTTCCGAAGGCACACGTCTGACTCAAGAATGTGTCTAGCTGCTCTCGAGGTCCCGTGCCTATGTGAGAGAAATTGCACAGCAAAGCCAGGTCGATCTGGGCTTTGCCACAGTCTCACAAGACAACTCCGGTGCCAGATTAGTGTTTGGTAAAAGTAGCTGTTAGACTCTTGGGAGGTGCACACTGCAGTATGTGGCAGTCTTCCTCCCCTTTTGGCTCTCCGAAGAAGGTCCCCTGCAGCAAGCTTTTTCTCAAATGGTTCAACCAAATTAATACATTTCTGTTCAACAGATTGAACCAAGGTGAAATACTTCATAATCTCTGGGTCCAGGCCCCCCCAGTGAATTGAACCAGCCAAGGAGAGCAAAATGAAAATCCGTTTTTTTAACAGGTATGATGTTTCTGAAACAGATGGTGATCATTTCAGATTTTCCCTTTATTGCCTTATTTTCTCTTTTATTCTCCATCACATCACCAGATCTGTAACCAGCCAGCTGGTTGCTATCACTTTTCAACAGCTGGCAGAGATGTCAGGGGCATGTATGTCTGGCCAGGGCATCCCACAGCACCTCTGCACTTCGCACATTCCACCAGCCTTTAAAAATACTGTTGCAATTCATTCCTAGCTATAAGGTATTTTTATTAGTAAATCTAACCAGGAAAACAGGAAGGGGACACATGGATTTGATTTACTGTTAGCATGATAATAACAGCCACAATAATAAGACAATTATTTGTATATGAAAGCTACAGGGGATATCTGCTCCAAAATCCTAGGTTAGGTTTGGGTTTTTTATTCCCCTGGGGGACACAAATTAGTCCAAGATTGAAAACTAAAAAAACCATAGACTGAAACATTCTCAAGTCTCATAACACCTCAAAATCTTTGTCTGATTGTCAAGAAAAATAAAGTAGTGTCAGGGGAGGTGAACTATACCAAGTGTAGAAACTGGCACAGAAACAGACACATTGATCTACACTGCCTTGGATATCAGTGACTTCCCATACATTCTGATTTGCCAGTCAGAACATAAAACCTGCATAACCTGCCTGAGATTCAGTTCTTGGTGGGTAAATAAGCCCCAGCTGCTTTGTGTTCAGATTGGCTGAGAGTACAGGATGAAGAAAGATCTAAACAATATGGTCCCTGTAAATATTTGATCTGACAGTTATCTAATAGCAAGAGTAGCCCAGAGTCCAAATTTCTTTCTTTTTGCCAAGGAAGAGCATTTGGGGTTAGGGTTTTCGTGATGCCAGGGGCTTTGCTGTATGAATCCTGCCAATATGCTATTTGGCACATAACAACAATTAGCTTCTGATTCTCCGTATGCACAGAGCATGTGGATCTTTGCACTATTCAAAGGCATCAGAGTCACATTCCTCTAGTTAGATGTGGCCCTCAGTATTCACCAGTATTATTATTCCCCTTATTATTATCATCCAAACTAGAAACTAGAAGGTTGGATCATACTCACTGCAGGCAGATACACTGGAGACTTTACTGCTCACAGACGGCAAGCAGAAGTCATATTGGGCCTCCTGTCCCACCAGTGTTATGAAATGTAAAGGAAGGAGAAGGAGAAAAAAGACAAGAATTACTTTTCTTCCAGAATTCAAGTCCCTGAACAAAACCAGGAAAAGAGCAGAGTGTCAGAAAGATGTTTTATGAGATGATTTGTTTCACCTGAGAGTGAAGTCCTGCTATTCCTGGGCACAACTTAGCCAAAATGAACAACTCAACAAGATACTGGCCTGTGGCTCAAGTTTATGCACATTTCACATATCAGTTTTTACATTAGTGATTTGCTTTGTCTTAGGTGAGCACACCTGCTTTGTTTAGCAGCAACAGCAGTTTCCAGAGACACTCCCAAAATGCTTTTGGCCAGTGTGCACAGACTAACAGCAAATCAAGGAAACCTTAATGGTTGGACTGCCAAATCTTATGGCCTAGTGGGACATGAATGATCTACGCACCTGAGAGTGACACTAGAGGATTTTTTTGCACTGTTCTGCCGTGTTATTACCAGTTCTGCTTTATGTCTCCCTTTGTTTGAAAGATGCCTCAACAAAAACTCCCTCACAGGTTATTTAGGACAATGCTACATTAAGCTGTGCTCTCCTTTAATTTTTGTGTTCTGTTTTGTTTAAATGGTTTGTTAATGGAGGAAAGGATCCCTGGCATACTGATAGGAGATGACAAGACTACTGCAGCACCATCAGAATAAATAAAAATCAATAAGTTTTCTGCTGGTGTTGGCTGTAAAAGAGAGTAAAGCTATTTATCAAGTCTGACAAGGAGTCCAGAACTGCAGGATCATCATAGGCACCACAGCAAAAAGAAGAGGAACAAAATAAGAAATACTAAATAGAGAATCAAGGTTGGTACAGCAAGATCACTAACATGTCAGCTTGTTTCAATACGTAACAGCTGAGGAGAGCATGACAGGAACACTGGGAAATGTTTCTGTTACTTAGAGCCTCTAGGTATCATAATTCACCAATTCTTCATGAATTACATCTTGGATCAACTTTCAGTGATTGGTCTTGCTCCCACTTAACAGAAAAAAGTTGTTTCATGTGCAGAGAATTTAAGTAGATTCTGTCAGATCACCCACAGGCAGTCAATGGCAGAGCTGGAAGTGACATTTCTTGGGTTTCCTGCCTCCTATCTCTCATTTTTCATTCCTAGTGCTCCCACAGCAAAGGCACTATGAGGTTCATTCAGGGGTCTTACTGGAAAGAGCTTATTATTAGATCTGCTACCAACTCCAGTGGCATCTCACATGGGATGCTTCCCAATCTTACTGCAGGATCAAGCTTACAAGTCTATTGCTTTATGCTATATTCATCACCACTACAGTATTTGCATTCAGTGTTATCCAGAGCCAAACCTTCCTTCAGCTGGAATGGACTCCCTCAGTAATCTTTACATGCTTGTTAGAAAAAGAAAATTAAAAAGGGAGAACACCCAAGACATAAAAATCCATAAAAACAAAGTGAAACAGTGCACAGCTTTTAAAGACAAATTGAGAAAAGAGAAAGCTGGAGAATATGTCAGAAACTCTTGAAAAAATGTTACAAAAACAACTCTCTGCAGATACACAGAAATCACTATATTGGTTACCCAACAACATAACCTCTAGTATCAGTTAATTTCCTGTAATTTTGAAAAATTCAAAAATTTCTGGAATCATCTTTCCATCATTTGCTGGCTGGCTGTTGGAGATATTTGCCATACTATGGGGAAATTCTTCAAGCTCAGTGAACTTCTCAGTGACATCACACCGCTTCTTTGAAGTGACAAGAGCAAAGCTTGCCTCTACCCACAGACCCACGTGCCACTGTGAAACACTGCAGGTTAAATCTTAGCAACACACATTAACTCTGTCTTGAGTCTTGTCCTCCAGCAGCCAGGCCAAAGAAGCTTCTTTCTTCTCACTCTTGCTAGCCCTGAAATTGTCCTTTCTTGAGTTTCTGAAACGGAGATATCAGGAGCCTATGCTGAACTCTCTGTCCCTCGGTGCATCTTTTGTCTGAAGTGATTGCTATGGAGAGCACAAGGAGTTGTTAACATTTATTGCTCTGTCACAGGCTAATAGCTCCCAATTCTCTCAGAGCATCCAGACAGACTAGTCTATGTTTGGAGTGGCACTAGGGGCTGCAGCACTCAGGGGGAACCACTCTCCAAAGACACTCATGAGGTCTGCAGTCTCTCCAGTGTCACTGTGGAGTCTGCATAGAAGAACAAAGTTAAGGCAGTAATCCAGAGTGAACAGAGTGGAAGACTTTGGTGTGGGATTTTGTCAAAGGAATTGTTATCTTGGAAGAAGAAATGAGGAATGTCCTAGTAGTGTTTATAAACATGTATAAAATAGCATATCTAGGTTCTTAGGCAATGAATTAGTACCAAATTTGTGTTTGTAATTTAAAGTAGAGAGGAAGGGTTTATTATAAACAGGATGTCTTGCAGATAATGCTAGATACTCTGTAGTATGGCCAATACTAGAACATGGTATTTTTGTTTCCATGCTGCTGTAGAGGTTCTGAGTACCAAATATGGGAGAGTTAAAAAGTGAGATCATAATTAATGAGCATTCATTTCCTTTGAGAAGTGTTGGTATGGCTTCTAAATTAAGCAACAGCAGGAAAAGCACATGGGCAAGGACTTAAGTTGCATTAACTTCAAATCCCAGGATTGCTAACGTATTTGGGTAGAAATGAAATGCAAGGCTGAGGAGCACATCCGTTCAACAGCAGTTCCTAATCTCACACAGGCTTACTGCAAGTGTCTGCCTGTGTAGGGACGGATGGACTTCTGGTGAAGGCGTGGGAGAGAAAAGCAAAGTTGAATCTTTCAGAGAGACCTGCCTCACTCCTCTTTCTCCCACTTGCTGTTGAATGGGAGGAGAAAGTGACAATTTCCAGGCCACCCAAAGCCCATGCACAGTCACACACCTTCCCACAGAGCTTGGACGAGGCAGCATGGGCAAAGCTGATTATCAGGCTAAAAATAAAGATCTCAATCTTTGCATGCAAGACAGCTACCAGGCAGTGGCCAGCTCTCCATTTTACCTCCTACCATTATTCCTGCAGTCCAGCTCCACCAACAAGCCATGCAAAGGGAGCACCATGACTTCTCCTCCCAGCCCGGTTTGATCGGCCAGCCCCTGCAGTTGTGCATGCCCAGCTCCAAAGCAGGATCCCTGAGGCTCCACTCTCTTGCCCTCACTGTGTTCCTCAGCCAAGCCTGCCCGGCTGGTGCCGGCAGAGGTTGCTCTCCACAAATTGAGGGGAGTGCAGAGTTATCTTTTGTTAGTCCACAAGCAAAGAGATGATGACCTGCGGTAAGGCAGATTAATTTCCGCTAGGAAAATGCAAAACTCTCCTCTCCCCACCATGCCATGTGCAACTAATCGCTTGCATATTTAAACACCCTTGCCTTGCTGAAATTTCGTGATGGAGTCGGTGACAGAGCAAATGTCAGGGCGCATAACCAATGGCATTGTCAGTCGTGATTAATCAGCATCTCCGCCAGGCTCGCAGCCAATTAGAATTTACCATAATAAGGAGGTGACAGCCGGCGTTGCTAAGCGACCGCTGTCTATAGAGCTGGGAGAGCCAGACACATTTAGATGTTACTGTGGATTTCGACAGCGGCATGTCAAAACAACACAAGCGTCTGCCCAGTGGAAAATTCTACAACCCAGGACTGGGCACTGGAGTGAGGCATGATTCCCTTTCAGAATAAAACATAAAAAAGAAGAGGTGATTTTTCTATGTTGGGGTGTTTTTTTGTAGTTTTCTTTGAAAGGAGATTTTAACCAGTCAATCATTTATATACATTTAATTAAGAGATATCGTACCACTGGAACAGGACTTTGTTACTGGGTAATGGGTTCCCATGGCTGAGCAAATGCTGATACATTCATAGGAAATTAGCAGCAGGTCAGCGCAGAGACATTTATTTTCAGTCAGAGGTATATATCTGGCAATGACATTCTGTTCCAGTGACTTATTTTATTATATGAAAGGATTAAAGAATAAGAGGAGGAGGGAAGGAGAAGTAGATGGAGAAGTGAAAATAGACTGACAGCAGTTCCTGTGTTAACATGAGAGTTGCTGACTCTGCACATCAAGAAAAGCTATGTTCCAACTGGGAGCAATAACTTTTCCTGGACTTAAGCTTACTCCTAACAGGGCAGGGGAGAAAAAGGGATAAGGGTCATTCTTGAGTATGCTACACTTTCATGAACAAACTGATTTAAAAAGAGGAAGAGAGAGAATCAAATCCTCAGATAATCTATTTGGATTTTCACCAGGCTATGATCTGAACCATGCCTTATGGAAGCTCTGCTGCATGTGTTCTTCAGGTCTAGATACAATGGCACAAAGTAGCAGGTTTTACCTATCCTTAATATGGATATCCTTAACATGGACCCATAAAGCAGATGCCTGCACAAGTCTTCAAACTTATGAAAGCAGCAATATGTACACCTTACCTCTTTCAGTTTGGTATCGCTGAAGGCTGGGGTCAGGAGGCTCCGCACATACTTCCATCTGTCATCACGAAGACAAAGGATGCTATCAAGCATTGGCTTGGATACCAAGTTCGGTTTCTAAGTTGAAAGAAAACATAATTCAATTTTAACACAAATGCAACCATAGCTGCTCAAGGCTTTGGAACTTGGGAAGATTGCTCAGGAATGGCATTGCACTGCTGTCCCACCAAGAGAGGTTCCAATCAGTCCCAAACACCAAGCTAAACATGAATAAGGCTGGAGAAAATTTCTCTTTTGCTGCACTCATTTTCTCTTGGGCTTGTGAAAGTCCTGGACCAGCCCTGTAACTCATTTCTCAGACTGTTTTGGTTCTGATGTTCCTGGTGTTCTCCTGAGATCGCCTTCACTGAACCCTGGCTTCTTCCCTGTCATTCTAAGGTGACTAGCAAGAGGACTTGTCAACACTCCCTCTCCATGTGACATGAGTGCCAACGCACCGCATGCCGGTGTTGGTGGGGGACACAATTTCTGGTGACAGCTGGTATGTCAGACTGTTACATGCATTTTAAAAGTCTTCAGAAAATATGTTGATTAGAAAGTAAGTCCCAGTCCTTACTCTGTTTATAAGCAACACTCTCACTAAGAAGTTATGGCCTGTGACTCTTCCAGCTGCAGCAGTTGGTCAAATATAGTAGCTTAAAGCACTTCCCCATGAAGTTCTGTACCAAAATGACTGCTGTGAGTTTACGAAATCTCCCCCGCCATCTAAGATATTCTTGTCCAGAGAACAGTGATATTAACCAAAGAGTAAAAGGATATAAAAGACAAAAGAGTAAGCACATCAGAAAACAACATGCTTCTCCCTGGAAGAAGAATCAGATGTCCAGCACCACTGCAAAAAATACTACATCTTGTATTATGTCAGAAGATGTTTCTTAATTGTTCCTGAAGATCTCCAATAACAGAGACTCAATAACCTCCGCACTCAAACTCTTCCAGTGCTGTACTACTTTTACCATGGTAGCACCATCTCTCTCTCTTGCTGGAACTTTAGTCTTTGTGCTGTCACAGGCATAGAAACTGGGTTATTCTCCCCATCTTTGCAGCAGCCCATACATACAAAAGGCTGTAACAAACACTAAGCATATTTCAGCCATCTACGCCACATTCTCAATACCTACTAATCAGTTATGTTTTCTAGGATTGTTTGTTCAGTGTTGGCACTGTTCCTCTGCACAGTCTTGCTGATTTACTTTTTCAAGGTACAGTCCTTGTGAACCAACATGGTACTCTGGTCAAGGAAGGATTTTTTTTTTTTTCTCCCCAGACATTCTGCGAGCTATATTCCTCTCTATTCACCCTGGAATATTAAATACCACAGCATGAGTGGTTATATATACATACTCATGAACTGGTTTGTGGTTCCCTGCAACTTTCAGACTTCCTTGTGAACACTCACTCCCCATGAAGTTATTCCCCAGCCTTTATCATTAAAGGTAGTTACTCCCCAGAGTCACATGTAGAACATCTCTTTGAACTATGACCATTCCCGTTATGATTTGTTCAACTGAACAAAACCACCTTGAATTTCAGACCTTTCTTTCATAGCATCTTTCATCCTTACCAGTTTTCTACATAAATCGTTAGCAAACTCAGTGCCATCATCTAAGTCATTAACAAAAGTACAGAGTAATTCTTGCAAAGAAGGCACCCTGTGCTCCTCCCTTCCCTTCCAACAGTGGACTGTTCCAAAATACATTTCAGGCATTGTACAGCAACGTCCTCCAGAAAAACCACCCTAAGACTGCTGGGTGTGGGCAGAAGGTGTACACTTCTCTAGTTACTGGGAGGTACAGAGACATTCATTTGTGTATGTGAGATCTTCTGGATACTGCAGCAGCAGTGCAGTGCCCCATGTTATCAGTAGCAACAGTATCCATTTTACTGGGAGAGACCCAAACAAACCAATGATGCTTTGGCCATCCCAATGCCGTCTGTTGATCCCTTTTATCCTCTGACCTTTCCTTTCAGTCTTTCTTTCATTACCACAGTACATGAAAAATTAATTCTTACAACCTGTTACACACCTGAATACTTTAATATACTTTTGTGCCTCACTACTTCTGATGTTATTGTCACTACATGCTATCTTTTATCCTTTTCCTTGGAAATCTGACCTACTTTCCACTCTGTAAAAAAACAACTTTTCTCCAGGAGCCATGAAGAACTGGCAATTTAGCTACGCTGGTCTTCCACTGCATTTCCTTAGCTTTCCTCCTTATTGGAAGAGTTTGCACTTAATATCGTTTCTTTAAGGAGCTGCCAGCTCTCCTTAACACCTTTTTCCTTTACACTTGCCAAATTCTTACTACACTGCATAAGCTTGTAAAATGCAGAAGCCTATTTTATATTGCAAACAGGCTAATGGGATAGTTTTACATTCTCAGCAACACCATCCAGAGTAGTAAACTAATGTCACTGGGATGACACTACAGACCAGTTTTGAGCAAAGATGAGCAGCTTTCAAGTAGAAAAGTACATATTAAGCTGAAGGAAGAGACTGACTTGGGTACTGTCATCAGACGACTACTGTAAAATAAAATAAGGGCCCTTTTTAAATATATGTATAGACTATTCTATTTTGTACAATGACAAGGAAAACCTTGGACAGGCTGCGAGAGTGGAAACATCTTGGACTGTTTTCTCTGAATAGCCTCTTTAAACAAACAGTCTGTTTTCTAACTTTTCAGTAGGTATCTTTCCTGAAGATCACAAGTGCAGCTAGGAAGACCATCACTCAGTGGAGCACTCCTTCATTTGTTACAGATATGCAAAGGCAGAGTAAAATCAGGAGAAAGAGCCTCTAGACAATTGGAAATGAGCATCATCCTTTCAGAAAGTACCATATGTTACCCTCTGCTTCCCAGGTATCCTGTGCTGATAGGGCAGCCATTTACACCAAGTCTTGACTCAGCTGTTCACAAAATGAGTACTTCTTATATCTTCAGTCTTCATTTCAAACACTGAGGCTCAGATTGCAGTGCTCCTGAACACTCAACAACAGGGAATGTGCCTTGATCCTGTGAAATGCATTAGTCCAAGATATCAGCTGATTGAGTGCAGCCTCCAAATCAGCAAACACTCTCAGACCCATGTTTCAACCACCAGCCTTCACTTCTGCTTTATAAAGTGGAGATATCCTGTCACCTCCTCAGAAATGCTAATGATACATTAACATTTCTGAGGCACTCAGAAACGACAGTGAAAGAGTAGAACAACAATTCCCACAAGGAAATGACCAATTTTGTCTTCCAAGCAAGGTTTAAATACCTTACAGAAAAAAAAAAAAGAAAAAAAAAGAAAAACAGAAAAAATTACAGGGCAACACTTGGAAAAAAATTTTACACCCAGTCCTAAACCGAAGGCTGCCCAAACTGTGCACTCTATGAGACAAATCTCCTTTGCAAGACAAAGCTCCACTTAGATAATAACAGATGTGATATAAATCTCACTGCATTTGTCTTGAAAGCCAATTCCCTTCCTAAAACCAAACATTCACCCTAAAAAGTGCTCCTAATTGCATAAAGACTGTATACAGCACATTCACAGAGGGACCCAGTTACTGAACAAAAAGCCTGTTAACTATAATATTATAACTACAACACTAACTATAGCATTGCCTTTTTAGCACTCTACTTTATGACAGTAATGCTCCCTTACACATATTTTTGGTGTGTACAGTATTATATACATATAAATGCTGAGAGAAAAGAAAAACAACTTTGGCCATAAATTATTTTACTCTGTATCTTTAAAACTGAGCATGCAAAAATATGTTTGTGTTTATTGGAATACCATCAGCATGACTGACAGTGTATAGTGGATTTCATTTATCAGGTTTTCCTTATTGTTTCTGCAAACACTTTCCTCCTAATTGCATAACCTGTGTTACTGGTTCATATAACAGGAATGAAAATGGATTTGGCATGAGAATGAGCCTGAAGTATCTCAGTGAAGTGTCACGTCTTTCCAAATGGACAAAGTATCTAGATGCATCTAAAAATGCTTGAGCTTATAAAAATCATAAAAAAATTACCATATGAGGCAGCTGTAATATTTTCAGGGGTGGGATTTTGGTTTTGGGGCAGCAAAGGAGGTTGCTTTTAAGTCAAATGCAATCAGAATCATGTTCCATCTAGCATTATCTAAACATCGAATAACTGCTCAGCGCTTTTTTCTCCTGTGTAATCAACCATTTCTGGTACAGCAACACTCCATGAGAACTACTGGCAGCATGGTAATCTCTTGCAGTGTACCTGCAAGTGCAGCTGAGTTCCCACAATCACAGACATGCCATCAACCACAGCAAGGAAAATTGGAGGGATTTGCTAGCAAACAAATCCTTTAAAAGATCAGTGATTTTAAAAGAGAAAGCAAAACAGTATTTGCAGATGAGTGGCATCTCTGCAACTGATGCAAGAATTCCCTCCCCAATAAGGTGTTCCTCAGGATGACCCTTCAGAGACAGTCATTGGCTTGCTTGTCATGAGTCAATCTGGCTTCCTCTGTGTTACTAAATAATTCAGGCAAGTGAATCTGGCTCTGAGGCCAAGTGGAACAGAACACTCCCTGTCCCCAAAATTAAATCCCTTTCCCAAAAACAATGGAGATATCCAAATTGGTTCTGGTCATGGTACATGTTCTTCTGAACTGTGCTCAGACCATGCCTGGGAGACAATTAATCAATACACAACAAAACTGTGCTAAGAAGCATGTCAAAGTGGACTTGTGTAGGACCTATTCATGCACTAACACAGTGTCCCTGTTTTATCTTGGAGTAAAACTGCAGCCTTCTGTATTTCATACAATATTTGTCCCTTTCCAAAGTTTTTCAATAGCAGGCTAGACAGAACCTCTGGCAGCCAGCAATGACTGCCCAGAGCAGAAAGAGAGATAACAGCACCATGATGCTCCTTTAGACACCTCTTCTTATTTTTTTAATAGAAAAAGGAGGGATAAAGGTTTGCCAGCAGAAGGCAGTTAATGCAGCCATGCACTCTTTAAGTACCATGAAAGATGAATCTTCAAAGAACCTAAAGGGTACCTTTAAAGACCTT